CCAATAATGTTAATGTCAATTATCAATACTCATTGCAGATGAATGGAAAACGAAGCAGTGATGTGACATCTTTATGTAATGCTATTCTGCATTTTGAAGCACTTCGTACTAGAACACAGGAAGCCATCAATGCTGACACCAATTTTATAGCATTGTTAAGAAGGTATGGTACACTGTGATTACGAATGTAATGAACACAGTAAGACACTGTATTTGCAGCACACAGAGTTATTATGACCATAGAAGCATTGTCTTTGATGCATGTCATGTGATACTCACAGAACAAATATGTATTTGCTCTTTCTAGAAATCTGAATTTGCTCTATTAAAAGTATTTTAGTGTAATGAGCTACCTGTCTACAATGTGTATTATTGGTATTATTTAAAGCCAACAACAATTACATTGCATTTGTAATTCTTTCATCAGGTGTGAAGAAAGTTGTAACTTGGCTGAGTCATGTAATAGTACAGTATCCAAAATAGAACAAAGTTTCATCAAGTTGAAACCACCAAGAGATGATACACCAATTGATGAAACCTGGATGAAGGCATTGCTGGAAGTTATACAGAAAGAAGCCAAGAACAAGAAGTATCTTCTGAAGCAGAAAGAGGCACATTGCAGGCATAAAAAGGTTAGCTTAACACTTCCTTACCGGTATTGTGGATATCAATGTATATTCAGTAGAACGTTGATTATCCGAATGCCTATTATCCGAAATGTTCAGTTATCCGAACCTACTGTGTGTCCCCCAAAATTTGTATGCATGTCTGGCTGTGTTCCGTATAATACAAAAGTCAACTGTGAACAATAAATATTACAGTCGTCTTGTGTGATTTCCTGGTGCAACACTTTCAATAAAGCTATTATCAACATGTAATCCGACGTCTTTCACATGTGCGTTCATTGTTTACAGTGTCTGGGCAAACAATGAGACGATTTACAGTATCCAATAATTTTCTAAATTTAGACAAGCCTATTACGTCACACCAGTGTTCCACTGTAAATAAAAAGTGTCCTAAAAACACACAAACTTCATCAAATGTCTTCTTCACTGTTTACAGTCAGATCTTTAACTTTACCAAGTTGTAAGTCACTGCAGTTCAGATACGTTTCCTGGGAAAACTGTACAGGGTTCCACTGCCGTCAAAGAAACGCGCCCATGAGCCGATCCCATGTTTTGTTCGATTTTTAATTTTAATGTCCAGTATCAGAAGTCACAACCTTTTCGGAATAAAAAAAGAAAGAAAATAACTTCTGGGATGTCTTGTCACAGAAGGCGGCGCCAGTTTAATCGTGCAGTGAAAAAGAAGAGTGACGAAACGACAACCCCTTGGTGTGCCTCTTTGATGGTTTATCAGCAGACAACGGCAATCAATGACCACAGTCGGCGGGCCGTTTGATGGTTCACTGCATCGAAGTGTTCATGTCCGATGATCACAGTAGCCAACCTGGATTTTTACAACAATTTATTCTGTCAATCATTCTAGGTGTTAAACGCTTTGCTGAATCCAAAAAAATCGGGACATCATGCAACAGTTTACAGTGTTCTCCACAAATAAAATTTAAAGAGGGGTGCTAATTTGCATATAATTAGCATACCAATTAAACATTTCAAAGAAAATTCTTTGCACTTTCATATTTACATCAACCTTAAATACTGTGTACAAGTACTATATTAATGTTCTTGAATTATTTTGATGAATAAATTAAACCACTTGATGTAAAAAAAATATCAACTTTGACAAATGAAGAAGTAACAAGCAATTGGACCAATAAATTGTTGTTGGTTCTTCCGGGACTTGTGAAACAGCTGTTCACCGAAAACAAAAGAGGGCGCTGAAGATAAATAGAGGGGCGCTACAAATTGAAGAGGGGCGCAAATAAATTAAAGAGGGGCGCTGTGCCCCTCTTAAACCCCTCGTGGAGAACACTGGTTTACCATTCGAAAATCCACGAGCAATCTGGTAACATCGATCTCTACACAGGGAATACGAAGCGACCTTTCATCTGTTTACTTTATCAGCGTCTTTATCTAGCGTTTGCATGGCTACCCTAGTGAAACGCAAACGCAGTGTGCTTGATTTGAACACGAAGCTGTCTATTATAAATCGACTAGAAGGTGGCAAAACCGCAAGCAATCTATCTACCGAGTATGGTGTTGGTAAATCAACGATATCCGATATCAAGGCAAAACAAAAGCTGCTGGATTTTTCCAGTGCAGTGCAGTGAATTCAAGTGCAGGACTGAAACGAAAGATAATGAAAATAGCCAATGACGATTGTTTAGAGAAATCCGTCTTCACTTGGTTTTCCAAAGAAAAAAGCAAAGGAACTTTATTATCGCTACATTTTACGGACATTTTGAAATGATTAAACAAAAATGTTTTTAATGACGTACTCTACATGTGCTGTTGTTTGAATTCATTACAGTCATGTGCGTTGGAATTTGTGTGTACGTGAGCCTGTAAATTTGACCCCGGCCACATAAGATGGCAACTGTTTGCGTAACCAAACAAAAAGCATGTCCCCCTAACTGTACAGATAATCGACGTTCTACTGTAGTATTGCTATTGTCTTGCTTGCCAGCTATATGTGACTTCTTTTTCATAAACATCTGCTGGGCCTGTTCCTAGGCAAATTCAAGTTCATCACCAGAATATACAGTAACTGTCAACTGCTATGTACATTTATGTGATTAGAGCCCGTGCAACTGCTTGTGTTCAGTGACTGGGTTATAATGTAATAATTTTTATGTGGAGAATATTGGAAACCTTGGCAAAAAGTTAATGAAATGAAAGTTTTGTTAATTTCCACAAGAATTCACTTTCTTTTCTTTAGAAGGGTTGTGCAATGTCCAGTGATTATCAATTTGCCCCCAACCCAAAACAAAGAATATCTTACCGTTACTTGTATTACGTTATACTTTTGTTTTTTTGTTCATTTTTACCCCCCACAAGTGTAACTGATAAATATGTTAACTCCAAAAAATTCATGAAAATGACTGTATGTGTGCATGCAATATTTCAGGATGCTCTGAAAACCCAGTTTAGCACTGTGAAAGGAATTATCACTACGCACCATAAACTTATATCGGAAGTGAAACATATGCTGAAATCAATGGCCAGGGAAGAAGAAGCACTGACCCCCAATGACAATGTGTCCATAGGTCAAGTCAAAAGATTCACCACACGGTATAAGCTGTTTTCTGAGGCATTTGCTAACATGTTAAAGAAAGTGCAGGAATGTAAGTTTTATTTCATTCTTTCATAACAACGTAAACAAACTTTTGTGGTTCACTGGGGCACCATTACCTTTGACCTGATTCCATTAACTAATAAAAGGTCTAGACACTTATTCATCCC